AGTGGTTGTGGAGAACAGCTCCTTCCAGGGCAGAACCCCAAGGTGCCGAGGCTGCGGGGATGAGCTCACTAGAGAGGGACATGGGTGCTGAGTCACCTGTTAGCGTCTGAGGGACAGAACCCCATCACCGCCCTCCATTGGGGTTTTCTTTGCTGAATGGTGATGCCACAGCCTCTCACCTGCCAGCCCTACCCCTCCTCTTCCTCTGCTTCCTCCCTCTGAGCAGCGGTGAGCTTCCTGGGAGCCCGGTTCCTGGGGCTTGTCCTCCCGGGAGCCCAGGGTCAGGCAGAGCCAAGGAGATGACGTGGCGGGAGTCGGCGGAGCACAGGCCTGTCCCCATCGCCGGCACCAGTGACCAGGGCTCTGGTGTAAAGTAGTGACATCAGGACGCCAGCCCCTGTGAGAGGCAGCGGCACCTGCTACTCGACCCAGGTCCTGGCAAGTGCCCCCGGGACCACCCAGACCAGCCCCTGTGGGAGGGGAATCCACATTGGCTCCACTGGGGGCGTGTTCTGTTCCCCCCACTCCAGGTAAAGCCGCCCCTGAGCACAGGCGCCTTCTGCACAGTACTTGTCCCGTCCCGTGTGGGGGCCCAGCTTCCGCGTCAAGGCCGCGCACCGGCCCGAGGCACAGAGGATGGAACCCAGGCCTGGCCCACAGCTGCTGCGATCAGCTCTGACTAGGAGCTCCCATTACCAACCCTACCCGCGCCCCCCCCCCCCCCACAGTGAAAAAGACTGAAGCAGAAACAGCGGGAGACAAGGAGGTGCCCACCTCCCAGCTGCCAGCTGTGCCCGTCTGGGGCGGGAACCTGGTCCCAAACCCCATGATGCGCTTGGTGACAGCCCTGGCGGATCCTGCTGCTTGTACTGAGGCGGCTGGTTCTGCCGGAGTCTATACGGCACAGGCAGCTGGTCCTTCAGTGGGTGTAGGCCCTTCCGTTGTCCCGTCTGGCTGACCCCTGGGAGCTGCCTCTACACCTGGGCCTGGGGCCTGGGGGCTCCTGGGTCACCTGCCAGCTGCTTCCAAACCCACCAAGAGGAAGAGCAGTTTATTTGAGCTCAACAAGGACAGAGCCACTCAGAGGAGGACAGAGTCGCAGGGCGGCTGGCGGAGCTCACCTGTTGGCCCCGCAGGAGGAGGAGGGCAAACGTCGGGTCCCGAAGCCCTTCAAGTGCCCGGGACGCGCACGGCACGTTTCCGGAACAATTACCATTTCAGCTCTGCTCTGAGTTGTTTTTTTAAATATGTTTTTATTAATTTTAAATATACTTTTAAAATTGATTTCAGAGAGGAAGGGAGATGGAGGGAGGTAGAAACATCAATGATGAGAGAGACTCATTGATGGCTGCCTCATGCACGCCCCCCCACTGGGGCCTGAGCCCGCAACCCAGGCATGTGCCCTGACCAGGAATCGAACCCTGACCTGGTTCCTGGGTCCTCGCTCGACCATTGAGCCACGCCACCAGGCTGCTCTGAGTTCTTACCGCACATGAACTCACCCGACTCACTGGCACCTCCAGGTGAGCAGACTGCTCAGCGTCACACCTCGTACCTGCAAAGCCAGGTTACTGAACGGACCTTTACCCCCTAGAAAAAGACCTGGGAGAAGTCGCCCTGAAGTAGAACAGTGTGACCTCTGGGGAGAGCACGGCCTGGCGTGTGAACGTATAAGGACGGTGCGCTTCTCGTGTAATGAAATGATCTGAGAATTCGCCGTGATTCCTGTCATATTTTCTGTTGCTGGGAACCAACTGCCAGGCTTGGCGGCTTCACCTGCCACCACCAGAGACAGACTCAGCGACACAGCGAGAGCCCTGAGGGCCACCCAAACCCACCCTGGAAGACAGGATGGCAGCGGGAGCTGGGGGCTGGCGGGACCTGCTGGTGGCGCCTGGGGGCCCATCTGCCCGCGGCTGAGGGTCCTTGCCTCCTCTGGGCTCTGACATCCTGGCTGCGGACCCTCAGAGCAGGGGGCCCGGCTGTGGCCTCCCTGCCCTGCCTTCCCAGGCCCTCCTCCAGGTGGCGCCGCGGGACTGGGCATGGGCAGCGCCCTTCAGTGCGGCCTCCCAGGCAGGGTGATTGCAGGGCACCTCTGGCCAGTGTAGCTGGGGAGGACAGAATCGGGCACCTGGGGCTTGGGCAAGGCTGACTGGAGCCCCACAGCAACCTGCCCCCCACCTGGGCTGGCTCTGGTGTGCACCCCACGCTGCCCGACCCCACAGCAACAGGGACGCCGATCCTGGGCACCTGGCCCTGCGGCCCCTCCCCTGCTGCTGTCATGGCTTCTCCCTACTTACCCCATTAGAGCTGCAGGCCAGGAGCTTCTCTGCCCACCCCCCAGCTCTCCCCCTGAGATGGGATGGACACTGAGCTCAGTTCCCAGAGGCCTGGGCCCCGGCTGGCAGTTCTCTCAGCCCACAGACCCTTCCTTCCAAATGCAAGTCCCCTGTGCATATGGGAACACCCCCCCCCCCCAACACACAAGGGCGGGGAGGGGGCTTGTCCTTCTGTTCTCCCAACAGTGGCCTGAGATCTACTTTCCTCCCCCACCCACAACCAGGCCTCCCTGCCGCCCACAGCCAAGGTTCCAGGCCCCTGGGTGTGGGTGTGGCCAGTGGCAGCTGGGCAGGCGGTGGGCAGGCGGTGGGCGTGCAGGCTGAGGGGAGCTGCTCCAGTGGCAGCTGGGCACCACTGAGGCGAGGCAGCACCCCAGGGGGGTGGCTGGGAGCCCGGCAAAGGCCTCTGGATCCTTCACCTGTGTGGCCTGCACTTTGGGGGACTGGCCCCAGGTCACTGTGAGGCAGGCACACATGGGTGCCGGGGAGGGCACAGCAGTCCACCGCCTGAGGTGGCCATGGTCTCCAGGCCGCGGGGGGCGACCTGGGTCCTCATCCATCTCAGACTTCTGGATGAGGGCTGGGGTCGGAGACGCGTCCTCAGGCATCCTGTCCCCACAGCCCACAGGGAGGGGTCACGCCCGGTCCCCATGTTCGCCTTGAATTACTGTTCATTCTAGCTGCCCTCAGAGCCGCCCCTCTGCTGGCTCTGTGTTTTTTTTTTAATACATTTTTTATTGATTTCAGAGAGGAGAGGGAGTGAGAGGTAGAAACATCCATGATGAGAGAGTATCTTGGATCGGCTGCTTCCTGCACCTCCCCACACTGGGGATGGAGAGTGCATGTGCCCTGACCGGAATCGAGCCTGTAACCTCCTGGTTCATAGGTTGATGCTCAACCACTGAGCCATGCAGGCCGGGCTCTGCTGGGTTCTTGATTCTCCAAAGTGAGCCCCAAGCCGCCGGGAGAGGGTTGGTTTCATTTCCCCCTGTGGTCTGACTTACGTAATCATGTTTGAATTCGTACCCACGTGTCTCCCTGGGCCCTCTGGCAGGCGCTGCCCTAATTGTGGACAAAGCAGGCTGCTCAGCTCTCGCAGGGACGCGTGCGTTCACCAGAGGAATTTGAAAGTCCTTTTCTTCATCTAGTTCAACCCCCTCAGCCCAGGTTCACCTGCCCTCCCCTCCGTCTCTCCTTCACACGGTCCACGGGGGCCCGGGGTGGGAGGCTGGGCGCCTGGGCTGGTGTTCTTGGGCTGCCATGTGGAGCGGGCTCTTGAATGTGAAGACGGAAAGGGGGTCAGTGACGCGACTCATGCCATCGAGCTGTCAGGCAGATGCGGTCCCAATGCCATTCCCCGTGATGCGCTCAGGGAAGGCCACACTAGTCAGTGCCTCGGTTGACACAGCTAGAAAATGGGCACAAACATCCGCCGCCAAGCAATCCCAGGAGCACAGAGAACACGGCAGGAGGGGCCGTGAAAGCCCAGGCCCCGAGCTGGCGTGAGGCCGTGCATCGTGGCCGCAGCGCTGACCCCGCCCGGAGGCCCACCGCTCACCTGACCCCACCTCTCTTCCCACCAGCAGCTCCGACTGCATTTTGAATTTGATACAAATGAACGCAGTTTAAAGCCTTAAGTAACATTCCAGATCCAGCCATGGAGAGCAGACCTGCTCCTCCACCTCATCCCCGTTCCTGCAGCGATGACGGGAGACAGGGACCTGGAGGGGACGCTCCCCAGCTGGGGCTGGTGCAAAGGAGGCAAGTGCTCAGCTGGGCAGGAAGATGTGGGGACAGGCTCTGGGGGCCGCTGATCACATCACCCCATCCGCACACATCACCCCATCCGCACACATCACCCCATCCGCACACATCACCCCATCCACTCCCTTGGGACACTTCCCAGACTGGTGTCCGACGGCTCTGTTGTGTGGGTGAGGCGGCTGTATCTGAGCTCAGCCCCGGGGTCCCAGGGATCCTAAACTGACCTTTGCAGAGTAACCTGACCCTCCTGAGCCCCAGTTTCCCCATCTGTAAAGTGAGAAACTAATGCTGACCTTGTGGCTCAGCTCAGACCAGAAATGCTTGGGGCCGGGTTGCAGGGGGCGGGAGGGGGTGGGATTTCCAGACTCTGCCCGGGGACTCTAGTGCTTTGAGAGCCCGAGGCTTACCTGACCCCTGGGCTCAGGCCGCCTGGTGCCTTGTGCCTGCACCCAGAGGTGCTTTGGTGACTGGTGGGATGAGCCTGGAGCCGCCAGGCAGGGCTCGCTGTGGCCAGATTTCCCCCGCGGCCAGCAGATGGGGGAAGCGTGTGGTTGGGGGCCTGGATCTCTTAGACCAGCCTTCCTGTGGCTACCACTGTCCCTGCTCCGCTGGGTAAACACTTGCCCACCCGATGCTACCTTCTGTGGCCGGCCTGTGCCTGGGAGGATCGCCACCCCTCTCAGAGCTGCCCCGCCAGGCGTGGGACAGGGGCAGCCCCCATGCCCACCCACCCCCTTGGAGAGCTCAGGTGTGACTCTGGGCCTCTGCTCCAAGCCCAGGTGCTTGGCCACCTGGACCCTTGGAAGTCGAGGCTGAGGCCCTGCCCAGCACCAGGACTTGCCTCTCTGGAGGGCGGGCAGCTGGATACAGGGGGAGGGACCTGGGCCCCAACACACATCTGCTGTATCTTTATTGCACGTTCACCACATTGCAAATCTTCCTCAAGAATGTACCGGGGTCGGAGCCCGGGCGACACGCTCACACGAGTCTCCACGGAAACGGAGCTGCGCCCTTGGCCGCCTCCCGGGAGGTCCCCGGGCACTGGTGGGTGGCGCCGAGAAACAATAGCTGGTCATTTCGTCACCGAGAACATGTGAGTGTCCGTCCGTCCACGCGAGTCCTGCTGGCCTCAGGAGCAGGCGTCTCGGAGGGCCTCCCGTGCGGCCGGGAGGGGGGGAAAGGGGAGTTTTAGTTTTAAGTTAAGTCCAGAGCACAAGGGCCTTGGCGGGGAGCCGGGCAGAGGGTGGCTCTCCGCGTGAGTTGCGGGTCTGTGCCGGCGTCTCTGTTTATATACATATCGTCTGTGTATAAATACAAAACAGTAAGGAAAGGCTTCCCTTCCGTACAAAAGGGTGGTCGCCTGCCGCCAGGCCGCCTGTCCGTCCACAGCTGCGTGCTCCCTCCGCAGCCGCTTTGTCTTGAAAGCGAACGAAACGCGTCCTGCGGACCCACAGCTGGAGGACCCCACGGCCGAGTCAGCTGGGGCATCGTGTCCGTCCCCGGCACCAGCCGGCGGCTGTGGTCACTACCTGTCGGCGGAGCCTCTGTGCCCAGGGTCCAGGGGGTCGAGGTCGTCCTCCACCACATGGCCCAGCCCGTCCTTCCCCACGCAGGCGCCCACGGCCTGCAGCACCAGGCGCAGCCGCCGGTCCAGGGCCTGCAGGTGCGGCTGGAACAGCACCGGCGCCACCCGGTCCTGCCGCAGCGACTCAGCCATCAGCAGGCTCAGCCTGTACTCCTCCTTGGCCAGCAGCTGCAGCCGCAGGTAGGTGGACTTCCGGATCCTGCGGGAGGGAGGGAGGGAGACGGTGCTGCTGACGGACCTCAGGTGGGGACAAGCTGAGGGCGAGTGACTCCCCGACCCTCAGCGCCCTGCCTCTCAGAGGCCCAACCAAGGGAGGGGGGTCCTGTGGCCCCACAGGCACCCATCATCCCAGGCAGACGCTGGGGGAGGGGAGGCCTGCTCACAGGGGACATAGGCCCCACTTGGCTTAGCACATCCGGCTGAGCGGGCGGAGGGCGGGTACCTGCAGCACTGTTGTAGAGGCACCAGAATGGAAAGCTCGTCATGGGAATATTTTCCAAACCTGCAGGAAGGAAAGCAGACTGTCCAGGGGTGGCCGCAGGAGCCCTGTGGGCGGAGCCTGTGGCCCAGGCAGCCACAGGGACAGGAGCTGGGGGTGAGCTGATGCAGCGCCTGGGGTAGCAGGTGCCTGTGTTCTGGGCAGCGAGCCCGCAAGGTCCTAGGCAGGGTGAGTGGACGGCGTGGGGGTCAGCCGGGTCCGCACAGCAGGGCCTCTTACAGCTGGGAACGCGTGACCCCCACCTGTGAACCTCCAGGTGCCCAAAGCTGACTTCTGAGGCATCAGGCACACGCAGCCCTAACCATCTGAAATGGGGGTCCCCCCATGCACACCCCCTTCCCCGTGTACCAGGGACACTGCCCCTCATGGCCCTGACCGGGAGGGCCGATGTCCCCGCCTGCTGCCCCAGATTCCTACTTGCAGGGCAGACGCCCCTGCCTGCTCCTCACAGCCCTGCTCTTCTTGGCCAGCAATCTCTTTGGGCCTCAGTTTCGCCAGGACAACATGTGGATAGAGCAGAACCCAGCCCATTGAGAATTAGGTGAAATAAGGTCATACACCAGTGATGGCCAACCTATGACACGCGTGTCAGAGGTGACACGTGAACTCATTTTTTTGATTGATTTTTCTTTGTTAAATGGCATTTAAATATATAAAATAAATATCAAAAATATAAGTCTTTGTTTTACTCTGGTTGCAAATATCAAAACATTTCTATATGTGACACGGCAGCAGAGTTAAGTTAGGGTTTTTCACAATGCTGACACGCCGAGCTCAGAAGGTTCGCCATCACTGTCATACACCCTCCTTCCCACAGGGCCCGCATCACAGAGTGGACCTTGGGGGTGGCCCTGTCCCTCCCGTCTGGGTGGGGCTCCAGGAGGCGGGAAGCGGCCAGGCTCACCCTCTCCCGTTGTCCAGGTGGATAATAAAGGTGTCGTTCCCAAACTTCTCAAATGTCTCGTAGTGATGGCGATCCATGTTCCCTGCGGAGACACGCGACCCGGGGTCACGGATGACGCGGCTTCGAGGCGGCTTCCTTCCCTCCCGACCCCGACCCCGACCCCAAGCCCTCATCATGAGCGAAAGCAGGACTCGGGCCCTCTTCAAACTGCGGCCGCAGCAGCGTCCCCGCGGCCTGGCCTGCAGCTCTGGGCCGCGTCGCAGCAGGGCCGACGGACAGCCCGCGGGACGCACCCATGAGGAAGTCGAAAATGGTCATGTCCATGATGTCCAGGATGCGGCGGCTGCGGTCGTAGGGGGGCGTCTGCTTCACCTCGTTGCAGTAGTTGGGGTCCACTTCCCACCTGCAGGGAGCCAGTGTGAGCGGCCGGCCCAGCGTGGGGCAGCGGGGCTCCCACAAAGGGCTGGGCTTGGAGAAACGGCGTCACTGTAACACGAAGTGTCTTCCGACTGACGCACCCACGCGGCTGAGGATGCATTCACAGGCATATGGGCCTGGGAGGTGATGAAGCCACAGCTCCCGTCCTAGCTTGGCCACACCGGGAGGCTACCTCCGCCCTGGACGCCAGGCTTCTGGAGGGTCACCCTGAAGAAACAGCCCAGGCACCTCACTCCCAGGCCTCGGTGGCTAAGAGAACAGGAGATGTTTCTCCAGCAGGAGGGACAAGAGGGGCAGGAGGGACGGACGCCATGTCTGAGCACAGAGGGGCTGTGTTTCCAGAGCCCAAGGGAACAGGCAGCCCCCCTTGGAGGCAACATCTAATTCTCAGAGTAAAGACGCCCCTCCCGACCGTCAATCACGCGGCGGCCGTCACACATGGGGCAGGGCCCTCACACCCATGTGGCCATGGACGGGGTCCTGGGCCCCTCTGAGCTTGTCTTCTTGATGCCAATGGATAGAAGCCAGCCCTCCCTGACCCCAGGAAAGTCAGGGCCTGGCCCGGGGCTGCTGCGGCCGTGCTCAGCCCACACTCACTCTGCCTTCTTGCGCTTGTGGTACGAGCGTCGCCACGGGTTCCGCCACGTCTTCCTCTTGGCCAGGGACAGGTCCGGCAGGAAGGCCGCCAGCGAGCCCTCGATCTGGTCCGGCTTCCCGCACAGGGCGTGCTCCGTGGAGCAGTAGTAGGAGCACTCCCCGTAGAAGCAGACGTTGTTGGCTGGCGGCAGAGGGCCGGCTGGTTAGCAGGTCCTCGGAGCCGGGGCCTTCCCTGGACTCTCACATGCATCTCAGCAAACCCTCCAACCCCAGGTTACAGAAAAAGGAGGCCCAGAGAGGGCAGCACACCTGCCCGAGGCCACACAGCTGTGGGTGTGAGTTAGGATCCGAACCCAGGTTCTTTCTGCTCACCCTCAACATTGAGGGACTGGGGTCTATGGGAATCCTGGAGCCCGTGTTCAACAGCTTAAAAAAGCATTCGTGCTATTGAGAAAGTGGAGAGACAATCCACAGAGTGGGGACCATGTTTGCAAACCACATATCTGATAAGGATCTAGTATCTACCACATACAAACAACTCTTGCAGCTCAACATGAAAAAGATAAATAACCCAATCAGTCAATGGACAAAGGAGTTCAGTGGGTATTTCTCCACAGAAGACCTACAGATGGCCAGCGAGGATGGGAAAAGACGCTCAACATCAGCCACTAGAGAAGCCAGTCCACAGTGAGGCCCCACTTCACACCCACGCGGCCTTTGTGATCAACAGAACAGATAACAGGTTCCTGGGGACGTGGAGACATTAGAACCTAACGCAGGGCTGGTGGGAACATGAAATGGAGCAGCCGCTGGGAACACAGTTGGGTGTTTCCTCAAAACATTAGACACAGAGTACCCACCGGACCCCAGGGTCCCCCCCACACCCAGAGACGTGAACACAGGTGTGCGCACGGATTGTAGCTGGCGTCCATGGCAACTCTGTTCCCAGCAGTGGAAGACTGGAAACAACCCACACGTCCATCAAGTGATGAACAGATACACACAGGTGGTCCATCCACACCACGGACACCAGGTGACCTCACACCCACACCACGGAACACCAGGTGACCTCACACCCACACCACGGACACCAGGTGACCTCACACCCACACCACGGACACCAGGTGACCTCACACCCACACCACGGAACACCAGGTGACCTCACACCCACACCACGGGCACCAGGTGACCTCACACCCACACCACGGAGTACCAGGTGACCTCACACCCACACCACGGACACCAGGTGACCTCACACCCACACCACGGGCACCAGGTGACCTCACACCCACACCACGGACACCAGGTGACCTCACACCCACACCACGGACACCAGGTGACCTCACACCCACACCACGGAGCACCAGGTGACCTCACACCCACACCACGGACACCAGGTGACCTCACACCCACACCACAGAGCACCAGGTGACCTTACACCCACACCACGGACACCAGGTGACCTCACACCCACACCACGGACACCAGGTGACCTTACACCCACACCACGGACACCAGGTGACCTCACACCCACACTACGGACACCAGGTGACCTCAAATCCACACCACAGAACACCAGGTGACCTCACACCCACACCACGGAGCACCAGGTGACCTCACACCCACAACACAGAGCACCAGGTGACCTCACACCTACACCACGGACACCAGGTGACCTTACACCTACACCACGGACACCAGGTGACCTCACACCCACACCACGGACACCAGGTGACCTCAAATCCACACCACAGAACAACAGGTGACCTCACACCAACACCACGGAGCACCAGGTGACCTCACACCCACACCACGGACACCAGGTGACCTCAAATCCACACCACAGAACACCAGGTGACCTCACACCCACAACACAGAGCACCAGGTGACCTCACACCTACACCACAGAGCACCAGGTGACCTCACACCCACACCACGGAGCACCAGGTGACATCACACCCACACCACGGAACACCAGGTGACCTCACACCCACACCACGGACACCAGGTGACCTCACACCCACACCACAGAGCACCAGGTGACCTCACACCCACACCACGGAGCACCAGGTGACCTCACACCCACACCACGGGCACCAGGTGACCTCACACCCACACCACGGAGCACCAGGTGACCTCACACCCACACCACAGAACACCAGGTGACCTCACACCCACACCACGGAGCACCAGGTGACCTCACACCCACACCACAGAGCACCAGGTGACCTCACACCCACACCACGGAGCACCAGGTGACATCACACCCACACCACGGAACACCAGGTGACCTCACACCCACACCACGGACACCAGGTGACCTCACACCCACACCACAGAGCACCAGGTGACCTCACACCCACACCACGGAGCACCAGGTGACCTCACACCCACACCACGGGCACCAGGTGACCTCACACCCACACCACAGAGCACCAGGTGACCTCACACCCACACCACGGGCACCAGGTGACCTCACACCCACACCACAGAGCACCAGGTGACCTCACACCCACACCACGGGCACCAGGTGACCTCACACCCACACCACAGAGCACCAGGTGACCTCACACCCACACCACGGACACCAGGTGACCTCACACCCACACCACGGACACCAGGTGACCTCACACCCACACCACGGACACCAGGTGACCTCACACCCACACCACGGACACCAGGTGACCTCAAAACCACACCACAGAACACCAGGTGACCTCACACCCACACCACAGAGCACCAGGTGACCTCACACCCACACCACGGAGCACCAGGTGACCTCACACCCACACCACGGACACCAGGTGACCTCAAATCCACACCACAGAACAACAGGTGACCTCACACCCACACCACGGAGCACCAGGTGACCTCACACCCACACCACGGACACCAGGTGACCTCAAATCCACACCACAGAACACCAGGTGACCTCACACCCACACCACGGAGCACCAGGTGACCTCACACCCACACCACAGAGCACCAGGTGACCTCACACCCACACCACGGAGCACCAGGTGACATCACACCCACACCACGGAACACCAGGTGACCTCACACCCACACCACGGACACCAGGTGACCTCACACCCACACCACAGAGCACCAGGTGACCTCACACCCACACCACGGAGCACCAGGTGACCTCACACCCACACCACGGGCACCAGGTGACCTCACACCCACACCACGGAGCACCAGGTGACCTCACACCCACACCACAGAACACCAGGTGACCTCACACCCACACCACGGAGCACCAGGTGACCTCACACCCACACCACAGAGCACCAGGTGACCTCACACCCACACCACGGAGCACCAGGTGACATCACACCCACACCACGGAACACCAGGTGACCTCACACCCACACCACGGACACCAGGTGACCTCACACCCACACCACAGAGCACCAGGTGACCTCACACCCACACCACGGAGCACCAGGTGACCTCACACCCACACCACGGGCACCAGGTGACCTCACACCCACACCACAGAGCACCAGGTGACCTCACACCCACACCACGGGCACCAGGTGACCTCACACCCACACCACAGAGCACCAGGTGACCTCACACCCACACCACGGGCACCAGGTGACCTCACACCCACACCACAGAGCACCAGGTGACCTCACACCCACACCACGGACACCAGGTGACCTCACACCCACACCACGGACACCAGGTGACCTCACACCCACACCACGGACACCAGGTGACCTCACACCCACACCACGGTCACCAGGTGACCTCAAATCCACACCACAGAACACCAGGTGACCTCACACCCACACCACGGAGCACCAGGTGACCTCACACCCACACCACGGAGCACCAGGTGACCTCACACCCACACCACGGACACCAGGTGACCTCACACCCACACCACGGACACCAGGTGACCTCACACCCACACCACGGAACACCAGGTGACCTCACACCCACACCACGGACACCAGGTGACCTCACACCCACACCACGGACACCAGGTGACCTCACACCCACACCACGGAGCACCAGGTGACCTCACACCCACACCACGGGCACCAGGTGACCTCACACCCACACCACGGAGCACCAGGTGACCTCACACCCACACCACGGAGCACCAGGTGACCTCACACCCACACCACGGGCACCAGGTGACCTCACATCCACACCACGGAACACCAGGTGACCTCACACCCACACCACGGGCACCAGGTGACCTCACACCCACACCACGGAGCACCAGGTGACCTCAAACCCACACCACGGGCACCAGGTGACCTCACACCCACACCACGGGCACCAGGTGACCTCACACCCACACCACGGAACACCAGGTGACCTCACACCCACACCACGGAGCACCAGGTGACCTCACACCCACACCACGGACACCAGGTGACCTCACATCCACAACACAGAGCACCAGGTGACCTCACACCCACACCACGGGCACCAGGTGACCTCACACCCACACCACGGAGCACCAGGTGACCTCACACCCACACCACAGACACCAGGTGACCTCACACCCACACCACGGAGCACCAGGTGACCTCACACCCACACCACGGGCACCAGGTGACCTCACACCCACACCACGGAGCACCAGGTGACCTCACACCCACACCACGGAGCACCAGGTGACCTCACACCCACACCACGGACACCAGGTGACCTCACACCCACACTACGGAGCACCAGGTGACCTCACACCCACACCACGGGCACCAGGTGACCTCACACCCACACCACGGAACACCAGGTGACCTCAAATCCACAGCACGTGCGGAGCCACACAGCTGTGGGTGTGAGTTAGGATCTGAACCCAGGTTCCTTCCGTGCACCCTCACCACAAGGGACTGGAGTCTATGGACATCCTAGTCAGTGCACCAGGTGACCTTATAAGGAGTGAGGCGCACACACTACACATGCATGAACTTGAAAACACGGTGCTCAGCAAGTGAAGTCAGACCCAAAGGGGCCGCACATTGTGTGACTCTATTTGTGTGAAATGTCCAGGACAGGCAGATCCAGACAGAAATATTGATGGAGCCAGGGACTGAGGGGAGGGGACAACTGGGGTGACTGCTAACAGGCAGGGCTTCCTTCTGAGGGAGGGAAATGTTCTAGAATTGGATTGTGGGGATGGTGTACAACACGGTGAATGTCTAAAAACCTCTAGTGCACTTCAAAATGGTGAAATTTACGACATGTAAATCATCTATATATTTAAAAGCCTAAGCAACCGTTTGACTGGTAGCTATGACACGCACTGAACACCAGGGGGCAGACGCTCAATGGACAGGCATGGAAACATGGAACAGACTGATGAATCTCAGAGGGAAGGGGGAGGGGGAAGACAGGAAGAGATTAACCAAAGATCTATATGCATACTAGAGGCCTGGTGCACGGATTCGGTAGGGTCCCTCAGCCTGGCGTGCGGGGACCGGCCGAAACCGGCAGTCCGACATCCCCTGAGGGGTCCCGGACTGCAAGAGGACGAAGGCCAGCCGAGGGACCCCACCAGTGCATGGATCCGCGCACCGGGCCTCTAGTGTCTCAATAGACGAGTAATTTAGAAACTGCACTTGGCCTGGTGCCCAGACCCACTCGCTGCCACAGCTCTCGGCGTCACATCTCTGATCACGCCGAACGTGTCCACTGGCCTGTGTGTTCACTCACGGGGCCCCGAGCTCCTGACTAATCACTAATCAGGGGCCTGGGGTGTGTAGAAACATGGGAGCCAGAGCCAGAGCCCGAGCACCCTGAACCCCGACACCCACAGCATGTTCTCGGCCCCTCTGACCCTGCTCTGCGGACCCTGACACAGTCTCTCGGAACAGAGACCTCGGCTGCCGGGGAAAGACGATGCCAACGGCTGAACTAGGGGGCGCCACATGGGACCTGGTGTTACTGCCTTAAGTTTTGAAACTGAAATATGTCACTAGAAATGTTGCAAGAAAAATTGCACAAAGAAGTGGCCAGGAGCAGCCACACGGCCTGGGCTTCCGCTGCGTCCCAGGTGTGGGACTGATGCCCAGACCCACTGATGCCCAGTCCCAGGCAGCACGGACAGGTGGTCCCAGGTGTGGCACGGCCTGGACCCCGGCTGCACTACCGGGAGGAGATTCTGGGAGCCTGGGGTTTTCCAAAACAAACCTCTTTTGCCTTTGAAAAAGCAGGTGGTAGATGTCCCCTCTATGCCCGCCCAGGGGACAGACGGAGCAGGAAAGCACGTGGAGGGCACAGGCGGGGTCCGAGGGAACTGCAGGCTGGAGACCAGTCCTCGACACACTGACGGGTCCCTGGGCCCCGTCACGTGCAGCCAGCAGGGGCTCCCCAGGCGCAGCCTACCTGGGGAGATGAAGAAGGTCCTCCACAGCTTCTTGTCCCGCGTGACGTCCCGGATCTCCCTGGTCATGTTGATCATCCTGCCGGCCACGGGAGGGACGCGGCGGAAGTCCAGGATCCTGGCGGGAGGGGCGTGGGAGGGGGTGTTATCTGCGCCCCTGTGGCTGCCCCAGGTGGCGCCGAGGGAATGTGTCTGCCTCTGCCTGTGGGCCCTGGGGTTCCATCTGGTCCGTAGGGGACTCTGCATTGTAACCAGCCTGGGAAACGTCACGCTGTGGGCCCAGGGCACACACGCACACTGGGGCTCCAGAGTACCGTGGGGCGGGGGGCAATCCTCTGGACCCTGGGGCTGACCCCAAAGCTAGGCCCATGGATTGTCCCTGGGGGTGCTCTGTCCATCCCACATGGTCATACATTGGCCACCTGTCCACCTCCCCAGCAGCCAGGGGCCATGTGGAGCCCAAAGAGGAATCCATTCTGCTGAGGAGACTGCCCCCAAGACAGGTGCCCACAGTGGGGGATGGTTTGTGAGACTTGCATCCCTCGTCCCTCCCTCGCTCCCATCCTCACCTCCCAGAGAAATTCACACCTGCAATTTCCTGCGCAAAATCCATGCTCTCGGTGCCCTTTCCTCTTTCCTTTTCCCAGTGGCCCACTGCCCCCCCTACCCCCCCACATGTCTTGCAGCCGCTGTTCTAGGTGTGGGAAGCAGGGCACATCCATCTGGGCTGTGACCTGAGGGCAGGGAGTAGCTCTCTCTTGGGAGAGGAGTGGCTCTGAGCATGAGCAAATCGGATGCTCACAGCGCCCGTGTTCCGCTCTGTACACGGGGTAGCCACGGGCCCCACCGCAGGGAGCGGCAAGAGTTGAAGGGACCAGCTCAAGCTCAGACCCCGCAGCCTGGCATCTGTGGGAGCCGCAGGTGGGTCAGCTCACCTGTCCAGGTGGAAGGCAGCGATCTCCGCATTGTGCCTCTCGTAGTCAGAGAAATAAAAAAAGTCAGGGGGTGTCTCCTGCTCTCTTGTTTGCCTAGAAAAAAGGGGACAAAACAGAAAGGGCTTACACTGAGAAAACCTTCCGGTGGAAGGGCGCATGCGGCTCATACTGGTCTAACTGGGGCTCTGGGGCCGGGCCTCCCCACTCTTACTCCTTTGTCCCTCCCCCCAGCCAGGATTGTCAGAAACCTCCTGGTGACTTCTCCAGCCCTGCCCTCCTCCCCCCACCCTGCAGCTCTGGTGTCACTAACCCTTTCAGCAGCCTTGCCCATTTCTACACGTTGCCTGTGCTGTGCCCTGCCTCCCCTCAGCCCTGCCTCGGCCCCCAGGTGCCTTCCTGACAGCCAGTGAGAAGGCTTCTCTCCTGAGGAGCTTGGCACCATGGCACTAGGCCACTACTTGGAGGGCCAGGGCAGGAGTGCCCAGCCAAGCACCTGCTGTAGAACAGGTGAGTAATAAACAGGACAGAGGAGGGACTGATGGAAGAAGCACAGGGAAGAGGCATAAACCTATTTGCAATGTCCAGCTCTTTTCCCTGTTATTTCTTCAATTTCCGCCATTACCACCACCATCATTATCACCACCACCATCATCATCATCACCATCACCACCATCACTATCACCATCACCACCATCACTATCACCATCACCATCACCACCATCACCACCACCATCACCATCATCACCACCACCACCACCATCACCATCACCACCACCATCACCATCACCACCACCACCATCACCATCATCACCATCACCACCACCATCACCATCACCACCACCACCATCACCATCATCACCATCACCACCACCACCACCATCACCGCCACCACCACCATCACCATCATCACCATCACCACCACCATCACCGCCACCATCACTATCACCATCACTATCACCATCACCACCATCACCATCACCATCACCATCACCACCATCATCATCACCACCATCACTATCACCATCACTATCACCATCACCACCACCACCATCACCATCACCACCATCACTATCACCATCACTATCACCATCACCACCACCATCATCACCATCACCACCACCATCACCGCCACCATCACTATCACCATCACGATCACCATCACTATCACCACCACCATTACCGCCATGGCCATTGTCCCTAACACACATTGGCCTCTTATTGCCTGATGTGCAGTGGCAATATCTGTGATGCTGAAAAGTGAGCATTTCTATCTGGCAATGCTGTGACCTTTGTCCTGCCTTCCTCACCTCTGAGTGGGTCACACACCTGGAGGGCAGGTGGCTCTGAGCCCTGTTGCTCTGGGAACAGTGCAGCCACTTCTCACAGCCTGTGACCAGGTTCCTGGAAAGTTCCTGATCCCTCCCTCCTCCTGCCTCGGGGCTTTCCTCCATCCTGAGCAGTTCACAGAAAGGCAGCTCTGTCCAAGCCCCGAGGCCACACAGGCCAGGCTGTTCTGGCTTCCCGAAGCCCTTTCCCTCAGGCCCGGAAGGCAAAGAAGTGGCTATGAATGCTCTTTGTCGGCCTTCACTCTAGAGGCTCTGAGAGGCCCTGGGTTCCCTTGCTCGCTGAGCACACCCCCACCTGTGCAAGTGGCTTGTGCGTGGTTGGAAGGCTCCTCCAGACTGGGAGCTCCTTGGGGCAGGGACCCAATTTCACCTGTGAGGCCCCCAGGGCTGAGCTGGGCACTGAGGAGCACGCCCAGGGGGGAGGCACACAGGTTGGACCCTGGCATCAGCCTCCCCTTCTCTGCTTTGGCAGACACTTGGGTGGGAGCAGAGGCCCGGGGTGGGCAGACCTGCTTCCAGCAAGGAGAGCTGGGGGAGCGCCCCACCTCTTCGCCCGGTTCCCAGCTGTAAAACCGGGCACTCTCACCTCCGTCCTCACAAGATGCTCAGGCAGGGCTCTTGGGTGGGGCTGGTTGGTACGGCCCTTCCTGTCCTCAGAGCCGGTCCCCCCTCCCCCCCAACACACACACACACACACACACACACACACACACACTCACTCGGGGAGGAGTGAGGAGGAAAGGCCAGGACTGATGTGTAAGGCCGGTGAGGGGGAGGCTGATGAGGGTCGTGCACACTTGCAAGCGTGTCCTGCAAGGACGGGAGGAAGGAAGAAGCAGCCCCCCGCCAGCGTATCACCCACCAGAGTCAGCCTCCATGCGCCGTCTGCTCACCTCCCGCCAGCTGTCCCTATGGTCTGTCCACGCCCGGCAGCTCAGGGCCTCCGCAGCGTGTATTTGCTGCAGGGCCACGCTGGCTCTGCTCAGGGCCAGGCTGCAAAAAGGGACGTGTGGGGAGTCTGCAACCCCCACCCCCATCCCCACCTCCCGGGCCTCCTGCAGAACAGGCGGTGCTGTCGCTGTCTCAGCAGCGTTTGGGGAAAACACTTTGGAAAAGTACTGAACCCACTGCCCCAGGCAGGAGACTGGACTTGGCTGATCCTGGTCACCTGGCAACCTCTCCTTCCTCCAGGTGTCCTGGCTACAGGTGTGCCCAGGTGCGGGAGGGCAGGTGCAGGGCGTGGCCCACCCGGTCTGGGCTTCTCCCTGGGGTGGTGGGGATGGACACGTGGGAGATGCTGTCGGGCACCGGGGTCGGCGGAGCTCCGAGCTGGCACCTGCCCCATGAAGTGGGGAGACGGGAGGCTGGACCAGCATTTCCTGGAGCAGCACCCAGGAGCACGGTGCCCCAAGTCAGGGTCCTCCCTCAACGACAGGGAGGAGCTGTCCTTTGTGCTGGTTCCCTGTGGCTGCTGACAAACGCCCACGAGCCTAGTGCCTGAGGCAGCCTGGGAAGGGTGTGCGCCTTGGTCTGCTTCCTCCAGCTCTGGTCACGCCACCTCTCAGGAAATGCATTGCACGTCTACGAAACGACAGGGTTTTCTGAGGAAAAGTACCTCTGTTTCCACAGAAGCCAAAGAGGCAGAACCTGGTAAATGCTGGGCCATCCCTGGTGCACGATCAGGCCGGGGGTCCTCCGGCTCTGACCCTGGCCCCCGTCTTATTGACATGGAGGTCGGAGGTGGAGAAAGAGGAAGGCACGTTTGCAGAATCACAGGATGGAAATGGCAGGTCCCGGGTAGGAACAGGTGTCTCTGACCCAAGTCTGCGCTCCTTCCTCTGCACCCTCCAGTGTCAGACGCTGCAGCTGAGGGTCCTCAAGTCTCTGAGCAGAACAACTAACTCCACGGCCCAGAGCTGGGCATGCGCAGCCTGAAGTGTCGGCCGCGAGGTTGGGTGCCCAGGCTCAGGGGGCACAGGAAGGGCCCGGGGTCTGGCTGCAGGAACAGTCCCCATGTCCGAGAGACGCCAGTTCTTTGAGGCCCTGCTCTGTGGGGGGACCCGTGAACGACGGGGCTCCGTGGGAGGACGGTCACCGCAGAGCCCCATTCCAGCGAGACCCATCCCCACATCTCGGTCCCGCACCAGACTCCTCCACCTTCCATATGTCACCCCCACGCAGCCCCTCCCTTTAGAGCAGCGGTTCTCAACCTGTGGGTCGCGACCCCTTTGTGGGTCGAACGACCCTTTCACGGGGTCACCTAAGACCATCAGAAAACACATATATAATTACATATTGTTTTTGTGACGAATCACTGTGCTTTAATTATGTTCAATTTGTAACAATGAAAATACATCCTGCATATCAGATATTTGCATTACAATTCATAACAGTAGCAACATTACAGTTATGAAGTAGCAACGAAAATAATTTTATGGTTGGGGGTTCCCACAACATGAGGAACTGCATTAAAGGGTCGCGGCTTTAGGAAGGTTGAGAACCACTGCTTTAGAGGGACAGCCCCCTAGAGTCCCCACCGTTACTGTCAACACCTCAATGTCCTTTAATGTGTGCAGAACTGAGAACTCATGTTTGGATTAAAAACAGAGGAAACTGGCCCTGGCGGGTTCTCAGTGGTTAGAGCCTCGGCCTGGGGGCTGAAGGGTCTTGGATTCGATTCTGGTCAAGGGCAGGCACCCTGGATGAAGGTGGATTCCCAGCCCTGGTCGGGCGCATGTGGGAGGCAACCAATCAGTGTGTCTCTCTCACATCCATGTTTCTCTCTGTCTCTCCCCCTCCCTTTCACTTTCTCTAAAAATCAACGGAAAAACATCCTCAGGTGAAGATTAACAAAAATAAAACAAAACAGAGGAAACTGGCAGCGTGCTCCCAAGGCCTGTGAGGAACAAAAGCCGACATTATCCGGCTCCTCCCAGGAGTGGATGCCCACTGAGCAGCTACACGACTTCCCTCCTGAGTCCTCACGACCGTGACGTGTCCCCGCCCCACAGACAGGGAGACGGCCAGCCAGAGGGCTCAGCCCACGGGTGCCCTGTTTCCAACACCCTCTGCCGGCTCCCCCGGTTCTCAGGGGGGTGACTCAGGAGTGAAGTTAAAGGGGAAGTGAGTGCGCCTTCCCCAGAGGCTGCTGTCCTGCACTGAAGCCCCTCGGTGCATCGTTTTATTTAAACGTAATAAGAGTCGAGGATGCCACGCTGCTCTGAGTCTTCCCACTGAGGACGGGGCTTAGCGTCAGGATCGCTGCTGTTTCCCTCCAGGGGGAGAACCCCTAAGGTCGGGGTGGGGCTGCAGGCAGCCCGTTCTCAGGCTGTTCGAGGAGCTCTTATCTGCAAAGTGGACCTGGGGCATCAAACCTGCCGGACCTGATCACATTGCCCCTGAAAGAAACGCTGCCTTTTCCGTACACGGAAAATGAAGGCCCTAGTTCCTTCCTGGCCTTTTAATCTTCCCTCCCGTTCATGACAACTAGAGGGACGGCCCACATACCAGCAGGCACCCCAAGACAGCAATAAGCAGCGAGATACAAAGACACGCCCGGTTCTGCTGTCAGGAGAGTGGCTTTAGGGGAAATGACCTACTTGCCTTGATTTTAAACAAAGGGGAAGATCTTTTCCAGAGCCCCCAGGGAAACATTTGCCATAGTGAGCAAGGGGGCGGTGGATCAGGGTGGGGACCCTGGAGGCCCGGGCCCTGTGAGGCGACCCTGCCCAAACTCAGCTCCCCCAT